TTACCCTACATTAAGGTTTTGATAACTGAAATTAAGAAAAGTTAACAGAAAAAAAAATAAAATCAAAGCGTTAACTAGGATTAATACGATAAGCAAAGTTTGTGCACTTCCAAAACTGTGCATTTTTCCTACAGCTCCAAATTGCATGCCAGGGGTCTTCAAAACCCACCCCACACCTCTAGCAAATTGGGGAAGTCACTATTTTCTGCAGAGAAAGATTGCCTGCAGTTGGTAAAATATTTAAACTCTCAAAATGAAAATTTTTAACTTTATTTGTTACCTTCATCTTCCACATCTTTTTCCCAAAAAGCTGTTGGGCATTTCGGTCAGAGGACCTCATTCCACCATCCTTCTCACATTGTCTTAAGGCTACACGATAATCAGTTTTTACAATATATTTTCCATTTTTGGAATAGAACCAATATCTATTATCCTTCACGCATGTTTTGCCACTATGGCTTTGTTGAAAGCTATAGTGTTAATTATTTCTTACTCGATTAAAACAAAAAAAAATATTGAAAATAGAGTGTAAGTTGGAAAAATGGAAAAATAAGTATAAAGAAAAAGAAATAATATAAAAGTGAAGTAAAAAGTATTAAAAAGTGAAAGGGAGTGTAAGTGTAGAAAATGGAAGTGGGAAAATAAGAAGTAGAAAAATCAGCTCCCTACATTATAGCTAAAAAAATACGTGAAAATAATTTTCAAACAAGAACATAAAAAATAAGAGCACGTTATAATAAATTATTGAGAGAAAGAACGTGTTATTGCCCTTAATCAATTGATGAATTAATTTCAAAGCATAACATGTATGAGCAAAAGACTTGTAATGTAATTCAAAATAGTTAATAGTATTTATCTATTCACTCGAGGTGTAGGCTTGATTTGCCCCTCTCCAAATCACAACATTTAAGAGAGTTGGTAGGGAATCAGGGGACGGTAGTGTGAATAATTTGCCCCATTTTGGACGGCCCGGCGCAGAAAGAAACTAGAAAAATGGTCCTCTAAATACGACATTAGACGTACAAGAAAACGACAGGAGCACGGGTTCCAAAAAAAAAAGGGTTGCCGTGATGATTCGTGAGGCCATTCTCCAAATAACTGGATCACAGGCGGACCACCGCCATACAATTTCTTCCTCAAAATCTGACCCCAAAAAAAAAAAAAAAATTTCTTCCTCAAAATAAATTTATATATATATATATATATATATATAGCAAATATCCCTAGTAGGACACTGAAGGAATTAAACTTTTTTATTTCACAGGGGATGATGACGATGGTGGAAGGCTCCTCCATACCCCCTTTGCTTATCCGCAACCTCATATCCTCCATTTTTATCTTCGCGGACAAATCCCTCTTGAACTTGTCCCAGAAATCGAAGCTCCTCCAGCTCATACGCTGCGTTTTGGTCACTTCCTTCCTCTTCTTCCTGCGCTTACTCCCTCCTTTAAACCCTAGCGACGACGACGTTCCCTATCGAAAGGGTCACAGTAAGAAGTCTTCGAACATACATGAATATGAGTTTCAAATACCGTCAAGCGTTGCCGTCGCTAATACTGGTGGTAGCGGCGGCATCGGCTATAGGCCGAGCGCTTTCGCAGCTCTTGTCGCTCATGAACGACATCCCCGTGAGCTCCCGCAAGTACCAAGTTGTTCGGTCTTTAGCGGAGACCCTCATCGAGGATAACCATAAAGAGGGCATAGAGGCTTTGCGTCAGGTCAACCGTACGGTTCTCTCCGCGGCCTTTTCCCGGACGCTTGGCCAGCTGGAAGCCGCCGCCGCTCTCGAGCAACAAGTACGCGGCGGCAGCGATGGCAGTGATTTGGTGGGGCCCGTTCGGCCGGCGGAGTACCGGTTGAGCCGGGTTCTGCGGGCGGTTCGGTCGATTGGGGATGTGGCGTGGCTGGGGGCAGCGAGGGCTAGTGGGTCGAGGAGCTCGGCGGAGAAGCTGGCGGCTGAGGTGCTTTGGCTGGCGGAGAAGTTGGCGGCGTGTGGATATGGGGATGAAGCTGTGGTGAGATGGGCTTCAGCTTCTAACTTGGCTTGGCTCTCTGTTTCGGTTGAGCCAAGCTTACAAGCTTCCTTGGTCAAGGTTTCGGGTACGTCCTTCTACTTCATAGATTTTTTTTTATTTTTAGAAGATAACCAAAATAAATTTTCTTTCTTTCTTTTTTCATTCAAGATAATTCAGTTTCTTTGTCATTGGCTTGTGACATAAAAGGATATGACAGAGACCGCACTTAAAATTGCAAAAACACTTCGAAGTTGAATAATAAAGTTGCAGAATTTAAAAACTTGAATATGGAAATTTGTCCTTTCTGTGGTAGAAAAAATTATTGAGTCCTCGTAGGTAATAAGAAGGTGTAGTTGTCTATGTGACAAAATTTGGTCCAACAGCTAAACTAATAATTTTTTTTTTAAAAGAATAACAAATTAAATTGAATAGACCAAGAAATGGACAAATCGAAGAACAAATAAATTAAGGAGAATTGTACAACTCTCGGGTCATTTTGCTAGATTAGTCTTTCCAAATTAGGAGGTTCTTTTGTTATCAGTCAGCTCTTTGAGTTAATTACTTACCCCAAATAGTTTAGGCTAATTTACGTCTACGTCAAAAGTTTCAAAACGTCGTTCTTACGAAAAGTATATATATAGAACAAAAAAAAAAGCTATATAGAGATTTATATAAATCATAGCCAAATTTGATTTCTACAACGTAAAGAGATTTCGTTAATTTGGGTAGAGATGCCCCTGATTTTATTTAGGATGTTCTTTTTGTAGATTCTATTCTATGTGCCGGAGTCACGCTTCATATACCCCAATTGCAATTCTTGATTCAATAAATTCCTTCCCTTGGTCGAGATTTTCTTAAAATATAATTATTTTCTTTTTGTCAAATATAGAACAGGAAATTTGAAGTGACGGTTCAGTTTTCCATTACCATAGAATATGCCATTCTTAGGGATTTATACTTATGCATAACTGCACCTGGCATCCAGTCAAAAATCACTGCTCCGACTATTAATAACATTTAAATATGTAATCTATAATTTTCTTCATCCTTCTTCCTATTTTTACTTTTTGTTTCGTCCTTATCCATCAAGACGAATGAGATTGCGTCTAAGAAGAGCAGAACTAGGTGCAGAGTTCATAATAATGGGCCGCCATCTCTCGTTTGACTTTTCAGTCTTATCACCGTTCATTTATTTATTTCATACAAGCGATATTGAATAAACGGAAATTGAATTTAGATGTACAAATTTAGAATCTCGATATAGGATTATTTTAACTAAAAGTATATATTTATCGCTCTTTTTAATACTTGATAAACTAATATCGATTTACAAGACGTGTATGTAGATAACTTGATGCACAAATTGACCAAAAAATTTCAGATTCTAAGATTGTTAACGAATGGAAATCACAAGAGTATTCTTAACCAACTTAAAACCATCACTTGACTTACCTTGACCTATATTATAAAACATAAACACGATTAGTGGATTGTAATTAAAAAAAAAAAAACAAGAAAGAAAAACTAGTACTAAAATTTTTATGCATATATACCTGTACATTTTTTTGGTCTCACATATATATATATATATATATATATACATGTCATGTAATTTGCAAATTTTACGTACACATGAATTTTTTTTTTTCTTTTTCTTTTTTCAATTATCATTTGGTCTGGAATAAAAAAAGTTCCACATTCACAGTTCACTGCGAGAGGGAGGGGATCCAAATTCAATTTGTTTACATGTACATTAATTAAGAAGATAAAATTATATTTTTGTTGTTGATTTGGTGCGCAGCATTATTGTTCAAGCATGCCAAAGATATGGGAATGGATGCAGCTGATGATGATGAAAGCAAAGAGCAACAAAAGCAAAGGAAGATGCAGATGCTAATGTCGTGGCTGCCATTGCTATGCAGAGCCAGCAACGGTACCGATGTCCCGGTTTTGAGCATTCGGGAGAGGGCTGAGCTGGAGAGAGTGTTGGAAGATATCATAGAGATGCTGGAAAAGGAAGAAGATCAAGAGAAAGTGTTATCCTTGTGGCTCCACCACTTCACGTATTGCTCCTCCTCTGATTGGCCCAATCTCCATGCCTCCTATTCCCGCTGGTGCAATGCTTCCAGGAAGCTCTTGCTTCACCACCATGATATATAATCTAACAATTTATTAGGATAGTTGTATATTGATAATGCCTATTATATACGTGTATTTCTCTTATTAAATGGCAGTGATAAGAAAGAGGGAGGCCCCGGGGTAGAGTTGGAATTAATGCAACCCAAGTGTACGAAAATATTTATTTATTTATTTCCTGTATGGAAATACTTGGTAAGCAAAGAAGTTTATGCATGTATGTTCTTCAAAATAGAAAAAGTCTTAATATTCCTTGCGTACTTGTATAACATACTCATAATAAATATTCTATATTGGAAAAATAGCACATCTTAGGATGGTTTAAGACCTCGTGTACTGTTCCCTTACAAGCCGATTTTTAGGGAAAAGTGTGGGCTCTTAAAGCAATTGATATCAAAAATGATGATTGGATTAAGATGATCGGTATTATATACGGTACATAATATTGAGTCACTGGATACTGGTAGATGAGTGAAGTTGCTCAAAGGGAAAAAATGGCTACGGCTGACACATAAAGGTGGTGGAATGTTAGAACACAAGATCTCATATTTAGAAAATAACATTCAAGACTCTGTTTCTGATCGTTCACCAACATCAATTCAACGTGGAGTTATTGAATTGGTGTGAGTTGCTGCTTTTTATTTATTTATTATAATTGCTCAGAAAAGGTTGGTGTGAGTTGCTGCTGAACTCGAACCAAACATATATCACAAAAAAGAGACTTTATAGATAAAGATTTAAAGAAGATAGAATCTGGTTCTCCACCACTCCCCAAAGTAATCGAACATACAGCTATAAAGTTCACAGAGAGCAGCTTAGACACAAGACAACCCACCAAAATGCCACATTGCTAGCTAGGTACTAACTGTTGTTCCACTCATTCCCTTAGGTGTGATACTAAGAAAAACTAACTAGCAATTGCCAATTGCCTGTTGGTTGTGGCAGGAAGAAGAGAGAGGTGCAGTTGGTGTGGAGTGAAACTTGTGGTGCCAGCAGAAGCACAAACCATTCAGTGTGGTTCGTGCCACCGCGTCACCCGTGTTAATCAACCATCCATTAATTTTAATTCTTTGATTCAAGCTACTCATAATTCCATCAACCACGCTGTCAGCCGTTTAGGAACCCTGATGGCCAATGCCGCAGCCTCCCCTAGTAGTAGTACTGGTACCGGTTGGTGTTCGGGGGCACCAGCCGCTGCCTCTGGTTATTACAATCCTCCTCCTCCTCCTCCTTGTCAGCCGTCCTGGCCATCAGTACCAAAACCCTTGATGCCTCCTTCCGCGTATGGAAGAAAGCGGGCGTTGCTTTGCGGAGTGAGCTACCATGGGCGGAGCTACAACCTCAAAGGAACCGTGAACGACGTTAATTGCATGAAATACTTTCTTGTTGACAGACGGGGGTTTCCAGCTGACTCCATACTTATGCTTACAGGTGCGTAATTAACTCTTTTGGAGTGCCAAAAACACTTCTCATTAATAGATCAAAATTTCACCATAAAAATATATTAATGTGTGATGCAGAATATGAGGCAGACCCTTATAGGATCCCAACAAAGCAAAACATACGAATGGCGCTGCAGTGGTTGGTCCAGGGCTGCCGATCAGGAGACTCATTGGTGTTTCACTTCTCTGGCCATGGCTCAACCCAGCCTGACTACAGCATGGATGAGATTGATGGCTCTGACGAAACGCTGTGCCCTGTGGATTTTGAGACCCAAGGGATGATCCTTGATGATGAAATTAATGCCACCATTGTTAGGCCACTGCCCCATGGCGCCAAACTTCATGCCATTATCGATGCCTGCCATAGTGGCACTGTTCTTGATCTGCCCTTTCTTTGCAGAATGAACAGGTAATTAATTAGTACATAATTACATGTTTTAGTTATCTAAGGCCACGTTTGGGACTTCTTATGGAAAGGCTAAAAACGTTTTCTGATAACTAAAAGCACTTGTAATAGTGTTTAACAACTTAAAAGTGCTTTTGGATCATAAAAACACTTTCAAGGTGCTTCTCCAAAATCACTTTTACTTTTAATAAAAAAATCGGTATTCTTCTACTATAAGTAAAATGAGTCGCAAACATGTTGTGTCCATCCTAAATTTCAACTTGCAATCAATAAGGTCATCAATTTCTTAATTAAACCCGATGAAAATGATTATGCTCAACAGATTAAGAAATTAAAATGGTATATATTATTAACTTGCCTTGATTCAATATCTAGAGAAGGATGCTATGTGTGGGAAGATCATGGACGATGGTCATCTGTTTATAAGGGTACAAGCGGTGGACTGGCTGTCTCTATAAGCGCTTGTGACGATCACCAAACCTCTTCAGACACTACTGTGAGTATAATAAAATAATATTGACGATTAATTAGTCACCAACAACTTTAATTTTGGAGTGTTTCTGTTTACTAATAAATTAACAAAAATAAAAAAATATAATAAAAAAACTTTAAGGCCTGTTTGGTATCTTACTTGGATCCAATTTTAGAAAAATTTCATCTTCTTTGTTTCCAACTCGATTGTGCAGGCTTTTTCAGGAGACACTTCAACGGGTGCCTTGACTTATAGCTTCATCCAAGCAGTGGAAAATGACCGTGGATTAACATATGGCTATTTGCTTAATGCCATGCGCCAAATAATTCGCGAAGCTAGGTCTGGCATACGCTTAAAAGGGCCAATTGCAGCTCTTGTCAATAAAGTATTTGGTACCGAGTTTCTACAAGTACGTATACGTATTTTAGATTCGTATATATTTCATTAAAACTCTTTTTTCATAACATTGTAATCACATCTCTAATAAGAATATACCTATTTGTATAGACGAGTCTCGTCAAGATATAGATGTGAAAAACATTAACGTTACATGCATTTCAAAGCTGCATGCAATCATATTAAACATTACATGTAAATCATATCACAAATATCTGTAAAATAGTACTTCATTACAAGTTCAGTGTAATATGCTTCATTAAAAAAATTCTTAAAAAAGGTTTGTTTTATTTGCAGGAGCCCCAATTGACGTCATCCGAGAAATTTGACATTTATTCCAAACAATTTGTACTGTAGTTGTAATAATCTGTGTGAGAAGTGAACCAAGTCTATATAACGCTAGCTACTCAGTTAGTCTGACGATCGAGCTCATTGGTGTAGAGACACTCATCTAATCCCTGATGACATAATTCGGTTTTTGTACTTGTTACTTATCTTTTTTCTTTTTTTTTTAAATAAAATAAAATAAAATAAAATACTATCGCTATTCTCTGAAAAAAAAAAAAAGTCTATACAGTTGTTATATCTTGACCGTTCTTTTGTAATGGACATATCTTGATTATTATAGTAAATAGATGTTTATGATATTTGTATTATTTTACATCACAAAATGTGATAGCCGATCTTGTTATAAATATAGCACTTTCAGATTTACGAATACAAAGTCGTTGGATCATTTTCTCTATTTATTTTTTATTTTTTATAAATAGAATGTTTTAATTGTTTAGTTCTTCACACTCCAATACATACAAATAATTGTTTTTTTTTTTTTTTCAGTCTAATGGTAATTGTGTTTGATGACGTTTTCTTTCCAACTAATATGGAGGTGAAAAACAATGTATTTATGATGAGCTTGATATAGTTGTGTGTAATAAACCAAATTTTAATTAATATTTAACTATTAGTTTATTAAGGGAAAAAGGACACTTTTGCTCTTAGACTATTTTAGTAAAGGAAAAGTTGACTTTTTTACCGGAGAAGAATTTAGCAATTCCACTTACACTGCGTAGAGCGCGACGAAATGAGTCCGTAGACATGTAGTGGACTCAAATCGGAGTTTTAACGAAGAAAATACGGTCAAAATACTTCAAGGGGCAAAATGGTAATTTTGGAAATTAGGATTTTTAAAAACTGACTCTCTCTCTTTCCTCACTCTTCTTCCTCGCGACCACAGCCCCCCCCCTGTTTCAACCCGTCACTTTCTCTCCTCCATAACCACCGCCACACTCCACTCCGGCCGACGAGACCGGACCCAATCGAACCACCGCCGCCTCCTCTTCCTTTCCCGACCAGTCTTTGCCCTTGGAACCGCCGGTTTTCGCCGGAAAACTTGCAGGAAGTCGCCGATTTTGATAGAAACTTCGCCGGCTTTGTTTTCCATCATCCGGCCACCAAATCGGACGATCAAGGTATGGATTCTTACCTATTTTTCGTGACTTAGCTGCTGGTTGGGTAGGATTTCAGAAATTTCAAGCGTAGATCGTTTGATTTTCAATCTAGGTTTCAGCAGATTTTGAGGGTGCGATTCCGGCCACTTTTTGGGGTGGTCCAAGAACAAAAGTGATTCCAAAATGGGTGTTTTACCTAAGTTAGGAGTTTGGACTGGCGGTTTGGAGTTTTTCCGGCCGCCAGAAATTTATGAAGCCACCCACGCGCTGCCGGTGCGTGTGGCGGCGCGTGGGCAGTTTGGTGGAGACCACATTCAGTTCTAGAATGATCCTTGTGTTGTCACCAGTGCGTAGGAATTCGCGGATCTCAATTTGGTTAACGTTTGAACCCCGAACGGATCTCGCATCTTGTGTGATTTTCGGGTTCAATACAATCAAACCGTTGGATCGTAAGCATTTTCAGATATGTTAATCTAGACCTTGCCAGGATCCTGTAGGATTCGACGGATCGTGAATCGGAGTCCCGGATACTCCGAAATCGCGAACCCTAGGGTGAAGGTTTTAGGAACCGTTTGACCAAGCAATCGTGACCAATCCGTCCGTCCGACCGAGACCAGATTCACAGGACGTATGTCCTAGGATTAAAGGAACGTAATGTGGACATAGGAATAACTTAAATTTGATGCACGTACTTCTAGGAGTCGGGGGTCAGGGTTTTATTTAAATATTTGGGCTTAATTGCTACAGTGCACCTTGAAACATTGGTCAATTCTCACTTAACCCCCTTGAAGTTAAAGTGACTCACTTTGCCCCCTTGACCAAGGTTTGATGTTTCACAATGCCCTCTGCCGTCAATTCCATCCAAAAGTCAGTTACGTTTGATGACGTGGCAAGGATGTTTTAGTAATTTTGTGCACCTAGATTTTTTATTCATAAATTTGAGTGGGTAATGTGGCAAAGTGGAGCCCACCTCCAGCATGGATAAAAAAAATTAATAAAAAATTAAAATTGAAAACTGTAAAAAATTGAATTCTCTCTCTCTCTCTCTCTCTCTCTCATAGCTTCTGGAGATGGAAGAAACACGGGAGGCTGCTCTAGCTTGTTTTGATAATTTGTAAGAGGAGCAAAAGGATAAGGCATGGGAAGATTTTGAAGCAATGGATTTAGATGGTGATGGGACAATAACCCTCATCGAATACCAGCAGTTTTATTATGGCAGCTCTTAAAAAGAATAAAAAAAACCAGGAGCTCAACACTAACAGAGATGGCAAGTTGAATTTTCAGGAATTTAAAACTCTTTTCTATTTGTTGCTCAATTCCAAGGGCACAACACGATTAATACCAACACAAGATCAGGTAACATTTAACTTATCATCGATTCATCGATTTATTTAGTTTATCTTTCACTGAATTTTTCCTCTCTATCTCTCTCTGCAGGGTGGGTTGCGATGGGGAAAATGGCTAGAGGGGCACGTGTCGGGGAGAAGGGGGTATAGGGGCTGGGGTTCTGTGGGAGTGGGGTAGAAAAAACCAGAGGGAGGGGGCGATGGGTCTCAATGGGGAAGGGAAGCAGAGAAGAAATCAGTGGAGGTGGGGGAGGAATAGGTTTCTGGGTTCTGCGCAGGGAAGGGTGGGTTGTGGGTAGGGGGCCGATAGCTTTTCGGGTTCTGCACAGGGAGAGGGGTGAGTTGTGGATTGTGGGTTTGGGGGTGAAGCGATGGGTTTCTGGTCGGGGACTTCCTTCTAAAATCTATTTTGTTTTCAATTTTATGTTTGTATTTTAATTTTTTAAAGAAATAAAAAACTTAGGTGCACAAAATTACTAAAATACCCATGCCACGTCATCAAACTTAACGGACTTTTGGATGGAGTTAACGGTAGGGGCAATGTGGAACATCAAACCTTGGTCAAGGGGGTAAAGTGGGTCACTTTAACTTTAAGGGGATAAAGCGAGAATTGACCAATATTTCAGGGTGCACTGCAGTAGTTAAGCCAAATATTTATACCGAGCAGTTTTATTAATATATTTTATTATGGTATTTGAATCAGGCACCCGGACACCAGTTGACTCGCAGGAGGGACCTTCGAAAGGTCCAGCGAGCTCGGACCAGCTATGAGTGGACTCTTTGTTTTCATAAATGAATTTATGCAATTCAGTTACAATATTTGATCTTGAATAAGTTTTTATTCAAATATTAGTGTTTTATAAGTTGGTGTATGCTTTTATATATTTTGATTTGCATGCTGTCGAGTGGAATATCCTTTAGGGATATAGAGAAAGAGAGTTTTAGTTAAACACCAGATAAATGGCAGTAGAGTCCAGCCTTAACAGAACTTCATTTGTTTATAAGAGAAACTTTATATATTTTCTTCTTAAGCCACCTTAGGTACCTAGATATTAATATGTTGCCTTCAGATTTATTGGTTGCCTTCGGTTTAGTCAGCATGCTTGACAATTGCCCCACGAGTTCTATGGTACCCGGACTCGTGCGGAGCCAGGAGTGCGGATCAGGTTGACTACGGTTCCCTGAATCCTGCCAGTTTGCGGCTCGGGTTGACTTTGTGTCACCGAGACTTACCTGGGGAATTGACGGAGTATCAAGAATTGACGGCATATTAGGAATTGACGAAAATAGAGGGGTACACCTAGGTGGTAGTTTTTAAACTGATTTCAGTGCTTTTAAAAGATTAATGTTGACCATGAGTATGATTGGTATATATATATATATATGAATGCATTGATTTCAGTACGTATATAAAGAAGAGAATGATTTAGTTTTGTATAATTGTTTTTACAGGGGGTTTAGTATGCTCTTATCTATTTTCTAAACTTTGTTTTTGGGTCCACTCACCTTTTTAATGTTTTGCGCTCCCAGGCTGTAGACGTGCATTTGAGAGCCACCACAGGGCAGTTCCGCTTCTCGAACTTCTTCAGTTTGATGTAGTCCTTGGTTCACAAGTGGTTACCTTCTTTGTAAATTCATCTGTATAGTGCTCTGATATTGCCCTAAGACGTGTTTAACTGTTGAAACGTATTTTGTTTGTCTATTGGCAGTTGGTGTATATATTTAAGTGCTTGTTGACAGGTGTAAATTTTTGGGAATGTTCGATTTACAAGGGAGACTCTGTTGAATTTTCGGTAGAAGGCAAAGCTTAAGTGAAGTTAAATTTTTAACCAGAAGGGCAACCAGGTCATTTGTGCTCGGCACCCACCAGGTGTCGATCACGAATAGGGTTCGGCTCAGATTCCAAAGTGAAATTTGGGTCGGGTCCTATCATTGTGGTTGTGAACATTATTTCTTTTATTCATTCATGAAGACATGATTTTTCTCTTTATATTCAACATGCCCATTGTTCAGTTTTTATATGTTATGAGAGTTTTCATTTATTGTTTAGATTTTTGTAATTAAATATTTATGAATTTTGTAAATATGTGAGACTAGTTGGTTAGGGCAATGTGTTGAAGAATACACAGAATCCCACATTGGAAACTTAAATAATTAGAAAGTCTCATATAATAAATGATTCCATTTTTAATAATATCGAGGCTTTTTGTATAAAACCCCACACCTGCTAAACATGTGGTTAAGTTGGGGACAATATTGATTTGCTAATGGTGACTGGGCCCAATTAAACACAAATCAAACAACCCCTAAATTGAATCAAAATCAAACAAACTCTAAATTAAAAATAAATAAAAAAGTGGCCTATGTGGAATTGATTGCAAGTGTGGCCCACTAAAAAGTGGCACATGTGAGGAGGATTGTTGAAGAATACATAGAGTCTCACATCAGAAACTTAAATAATTAGAAAGTCCCTTATAATATATGGCTCCACTCTTAATAATATTGAGGCCTTTTGTATAAAACCCTACACCTACTAAACAAGTGGTTAAGTTGGGGACAATATCGATGTTGTTAGTGGTGGGCTAATAATCTGTCCCTCTGAAATCTTAACATGTTGACGTGAGTTAACCTATTAAATCAAGGAGATTTATTTCATAAGTTAATTAAGTAATTTACTTCCTTGTTTTAT